ATCTACTTGGTTAGTTCCAAAAACTCTAGGATAATTTCAGATTTTAATTTCTTTAGCGAAAAAATGATTTTAAATAACATAAACAGTGCTCCATCTGTTGACAGGAAAACTATTCCAAAACAATGAAAATCTTTCCGGAAGATCCTGTTCTCCATATTTTTGTCAAAAAACTTTCCGGGAATACTTAGGAAAAGGGTAGCTCAGCCCATTTTGGGTGAATTAAGAAAGGAGGTTACTTACTTGAAATAGTCAGGAAGATCGGGTTGGACAGTCCACCTCACTTAGCCGGTCTTTTGGCAGTTGTTCCAGCTGCATGTGTTTTTGTGTTGAAGACTTTTCTTGTGATTTGATCTGTCTGATTCCAGTCTCGAAGTTAATTCCCGCTATTGTTTTCATTCAAAGTAGTTTGGTGACATTGTGATCTCGAAGAAAAAGGCAAAACGATAACTAATCAAGATGAAGCTCGTAAGGTGAGTGGCGTGTTCTGTTGCTTGAGAGATTTCTCTTTTCATGACTCAATTATTTTGCTTGTGTTTAGGTTCTTGATGAAGCTGTCACATGAAACGGTGACGATTGAACTGAAGAATGGCTCAGTGGTAATTGATTTAGCACTTTTTATTTGTTCTTGAGGGCAGTTTTCTAATGTCTAATCACTTCCAGGCCAGTGGAACCATTGCCGGCGTCGATGTGGCGATGAACACTCACCTAAAAACGGTGAAGCTGGTCTCAAAGTCTGGCGCTCAGCAGACACTTGACTCACTGTCAATTCGCGGCAACAACATTCGCTACTTCATCCTCCCGGACTCTCTTCCCCTGGAAACCTTGCTCGTCGATGACACACCAAAGGCAAAGGCGAAGAAGCGCGATACGATGGGTCGTGGTGGCGCCGGCGCCAGAGGCCGTGGACGAGCCCGCGGTCGTGGACGTGGTGGCCCGATGGGCGGCGGTGGACGTGGCCCTCCCCGAGGACGACGATGAATAAGAAAGAGAAAGTCTGCATTACTCTCGCCGCTCTACTGTAAACCGTCAGTGACATCCTTCTTTTGTGGTTTGTCGTCATAAAGCCATGCATTCTATACTTCAAATTGTTTCTCACGTCTAATACTTTCCTTTCCTTTTTCGGTAGTTGTATTCATTTTGCCTGCGCCTGTATGTTTTCACCATCTTTCTTTGCCTCTTTCTGTCATCTAGAAATGCGATTAATAAAAGAGCTAATGAACGTTAATTTAATTTAGATGAAAAGTTAATTCAATTTATTAAAAAGTAAAGAAAGCACAAGTCAAGAGTTGCCACTTGCAATTGTCAAACCTGAAAAAACGGCAATTTCTATTTTCAAGTGCTTCACATTGTGGCGACCACTTGACATATGTAAATCAAATTTTGGCTACAGCGCTTAAAAGGAAGTGGGAAGTTAATCAAATGAAAGGAGAACTACTTTCAATTTCCCAATTAGAGCAGCCTTGCTTCCTCTTTATTTCAATTTAACACCAATTCGCCACTTGACTTTTACCACTTTCGATCAAACGCTGAAAAGGTCAAGGAGAAAGAGCAGAAGATGTTCTTCTTTCTTCGGTATATAAAGCAGGAGAAAGGTGATCGAGAAACCATTCAGTCCGCCGCATTTCCAGTCCTTCTGTCCACCTCCAAGACCGAAGATGCATCTTCTGGCACTTTCTCTGGCCACTTTCCTGCTGGCAGTGCTGGCCTCACCTAGCCATGCCAACCACCACCACTACCCACCACCGCCCCCAATGCACAGCTACTCCTCACACTACCCACCTGAGCACAACTACCCGCCCCCTCCCCCTGAATATCCTCATGATTACCCGCATGAACACCCTTCCCATCACTCATACCCACCACCACCTCCTCCCCCTCCTCCCCAACACTACCCCTCGTACCAGTCGATGTACTCCCATGCCGACTCACCACCGCATGTGATCAAGGAGAGAGTGCCCTTCCCCGTGCCCAAAATATACCCGATCCACATTCCGCACATCATCAAGATTCCCATCCCCTCGAGGCCCATCATCAGACACGTGCCGGTGATCAAGCACGTACGCATCATTCAGCGGGTGCCGGTGCACATTCCGCAGCCGTACCCGGTGAAGATTCCCTATCCGGTTCGGGTGCCGGTGTACCTGCGCCCGAAGGAGCACACCTACGAGCCGGAGCACGAGCACCAGACGAGCTACCCGACGCCGCCGCCGCCCACCTACGAGGACCACCACCCCGACCACTCTTCGCCGCACGGGTCAGTGGACAGTTCGGACAGTCCGGAGATTAACGTGCGAATGAGCATTTGTAGTAATTAATCAAACATTATTACTCTTCTTTCTTTCAAATTCCCCCATCAAACTGTCCTCAAATTAGGTATGAGAAGAAGAAGTAAACCACACAGAACAACAGTCCAAAGCCATCTTCTCATCAACGACTACGATTCTGTGTGTCTGGTTTAGAAAACCTCAGTAAAGCGTTTAATTTATCTTTTTTTCAAGTTTTGTAAAATGTGTTTTTTGTTGATTGAAAATAAAACCGTCCATGTATTAGAGTGTAAATGGGAGTTTGTTTCATCTGATTTAAAAAACTTTTAATTATCATTTGAAAAGGGAAAGTTAATTTGCTTTGTTTGCCAAACCGGTTAGCAAACAAAAAAAATGCTAGCATATAGTGGTCGACAACAACTGTGAGCAGAAGATGCGTAGCTGTATTTGCTCACACTAGTTGCAACATGTGCAAATACACATCGTCCACTTCAAGATTGAATTCACCATTATTTAAAAGTGTGGGTGCAGCAGCTGAAGTGGCCCATCCAAACCGACGTCCACCGGACAATGAATTTCGCCGAGCAATTGACACTCAACAGGAAGCCCTTTACTGGCAGTTCATCGACGAAAAGCAGAAGGAAATGAGCAGACAACTTGAGGACGGCGTCGACCAAATTGTTGCTGTGCTGTTGGCTGTCCTCTTCTTAGTCGTTGGCTTTACTTTAGGCTGCCTTNAAGGAAATGAGCAGACAACTTGAGGACGGCGTCGACCAAATTGTTGCTGTGCTGTTGGCTGTCCTCTTCTTAGTCGTTGGCTTTACTTTAGGCTGCCTTTTTCGGTGACACAGTTGTACCCTTCGACTTATTCACACGATGACCTTTGAACTAAAATAAACAACTTTCCGTTTGAATTACACACAAATTGGCTGAATGGAAAAACGAAAAAGATTAATCTCATCGCATGCTGTTGATGAGGATGATGCTGACCGAGTGGTAAACTGGTTGGCTGAGTGGAGAACGCTGAGAGTGGAGTCGCTGCTGTTGCTGTTGCTGTCTACAGAGTCAACTAAACTCGTTATCACTCTTTCTCTCTCCCGCTCTTCTTCGCATCCGCTTCCACCTTCGACACAGATTTGAGGGGAAGGCACAGAGGGAAAGGGGGAAGGCAGCATCCCCTCAGCAATGTCTATCACTTAAGTAGTAGCCTTCAGTGGTTGTCTTCAGCTAAGGCGCGTCGTTGGTCCAATGGTAGAATGCTCGCCTGCCACGCGGGCG